AAACATTCCAGGCCAAGTTGCTACTGTCTGTTTGAGTTTTAATTAACTCTGGATCTTTTTAGTGGACTTTCCTGGCCTGTTTCTCTTTCCACCCCGCTCCTGTCTATTTAACACTGGGACCCGCTTTCTTGTCTCCTTCTCCCTCATAATCCTCAGGCTGGGAATCCAGGGGCACAAAGCCTTCAAAGGAAGATCAAGTAAGAGACTCAGGTTCACCTGAGAGCCAGGAGCCTTCAGCCCCTACCAGGCCTTCTACTACCCCTTATTCTGACCTTAGAAAGGAATTAGAGAATTAGAACAATGTGAGAAGGACTTAAGAGAGTTCTCCCCTTCCTTCTGGGGAGTCCACCAGGAATCCCAAGATGTTTCCAGTGAGAGAGGTCCTGCTAGGACAAGGGGAAATTGGATGTGTTCATGCTCCGCTCGCGGGTACTGAGGTGAGAAATTTTAAGAAGGAAATGAAACCATTGCTAGAAGATCCCCTTGGCCTAGTGGACCAACTAGATCAATTCCTAGGACCTAATATATATACTTAGGTTGAACTGATGTCCATCATGAATATCCCATTCCCTGGTGGTGAGAGGGGGGTGATCAGGGGAGCTGCTGTGGCCATTTGGGAACAGAGACACCCACTGGGCCGGGGTGTCGAGTCAGGGGAACAAAAGTTCCCAAATGTAGATCCTGGGTGGGATAATAATGATCCAGGGGACAGAACCAAAATGCAGATTCTTCGAGGACTAATTATAAAGAGAATTAGGGAATCGGCCCCAAAATCTCAAAATGTTTCTAAGGCGTTCGAAGTCCAACAGGAGAAGGAAGAGACCCCAACTGCATCTTCACAGAGACTCGGGGACCAGATGAGGAAGTACTCAGGACTTGGGCCAGAAGCTCAGGTAGGACAAGGTCTTTTGAAAGTCAATTTTGTAACCAAAAGTTGGCCAGATATTGCTAAGAAATTACAGAAGCTAGATAGATGGATGGAATGAGAAAACTATGGAGGAATTACTGAGAGAAGCTCAAAAAGTTTGTAAAAAGAGAGGAAGAAAGGCTAGAAGCTTGTATTTCAAATTGTTAGACGGAGAGCCAGACCCTCTCCAGTGGACCCAGGGGAACTGCAAATTCTAGAGGAGTTGAAAGCAATCCTTAGTCACCGCCGCAGTCCTGGCATTCCCTTCTTCAGAGAAGCCGTTTCACTACTTTGTTGCTGTTGAACAAGGTTCCCTCTAGGGGTCCTGAGCCAAGCCTGGGGTGGAGAGAAACAACCGGTGGCCTTTATGTCTGAACTGTTGGACCCTGTCTCTCAAAGATGGACTGAGTGCGTCCAGGCCATCACATATGCGCCCTTACTGGTGGAAGAGAGCAGGAAATTAACTTCTGGAGGAACCCTCTGGTCTGTACTCCTCACCAGATTCCAGCCATACTTAATCAGCGGGCTGGGCACAGGCTAACAGATTCTCAAATTTTAAAATATGAAGCAATTTTACTTGAAAAAGATGACATGATTTAACCACAGATGCCTGCCTCAGTTCCGGCCAGCTTCCCGTGTGCAGGGGAGGCTGAAGGCCCATCAGAATTGAGCCACAGTTGCACAGGCCTCATAGAGCACCAGACTAGAGTCAGGCCTGATTTAAGGGAAGCACCTCTAGGTGGGGTATGAAACTGTTTACAGAAGAGTCCTCCCGGATGATAGGGGGCAAACGACCTAATGGCGATGCCACCATTGATGGAGACCAGTTATCCATCTGTGAAAAGGGGAGATTACCCAATAACTGGTCACCCCAAACCTGTGGGTTGTTTGCCCTTAATCGGGCCTTAAAACTACTTTCAGATAAGGAGGGCACCATTTACACAGACTCCAAATATGCCTTCAGAGCAGTCCGTACCTTTAGAAAAACTTGGACAGAAAGAGGTCTCACGAACAGTAAGGAAAGTAATTAATTCATGGGGAATCAATCAAGGAGGTTCTGGAAAATCTACTTCCAGCTGAAATATCTATAATGCATGTGAATGGTCACCAGAAATTCTTATGAAGCAACAGGTAACAGAATTTCTGATGCAGCCATTAAAGAGGCTGCATCTGAAGATGAAATTAGATTTTTAAATCTCCTAATATTCCTAAAATTTCCTTTATCCCAAAGTTTTCTAAAAAAAAAAAAAAGGAAATTAAGAAGCAACAGAAGGTGGGGGCATCTTGAGATGAGAAACTGCGGTGGACTTTACCAGATGGGAGAGAAATGATCAGCCGACCTATTACGAAAGCGCTGTGAACATGTTACACAGAGGGAGCCACTGAGGTCCCCGGGCGCTGTGTGACGTTTTGATAAAGGTTATGGGTGTGTAAGTATTTACACCATTGCTAAACGGGTTTGTAGGAGTTGCAAATGTGCCAAAGAATTAGGAGGTATATGAAAAAGCCAGACCTCTGGGGAGACTCCCAGGAATAAGACCACTCCACAATGTGCAGACCGACTTTACTGAGATGCCAAACGTGGGAAGGCTTACATATTTAGTAGTGATTGTTGACCCTGTCACTGGACGGGTGGAGGCCCACCCACTAACTGCAACGGCAGGATCAGTGGTGAAGGTACTTTTAGAGCGAGTAATTCCTAGGTTTGGGTTAATAGAAAATGTTGATTCAGACAACGGGAGTCATTTTACTTCAAAAGAACTACAGGGAATAATGATGGCGCTCCAGGTACAGTGGGATTTCCATAGTCCTTGGCATCCACCATCCTCCGGAAAGGGAGAAAGAATGAATCAGACTCTTAAGAAGCATTGAACCAAATTAATACTAGAAACCAAGTTGCCTTGGACTAAATGTCTCCCTGCACCACTCCTAAGGATCAGAACTGCTCCCCGAAAGGATGTGGGACTTTGTCCTTATGAATTATTAGATGGGCTGCCGTATCTGGGAAGGGCAACGGACTTGCCCACCACGGAAACAAAGGATCGGTTTCTAAGGGAGTATGTGCTGGCCATGTCTCCTACCTTGTCTTCTCTCAGGCTGAAAGGACCCCTCTCCCAGACTTCCCCGCCTGAGCCCTTCACTCACTGCTTCCAGCCTGGGACCTGGTGTTAGTAAAGTCCTGGAAAGGAGACCGACTCCAGCCCAGCTGGGAAGGACCCTGCCAAGTGCCTCCTGACCACAGAGATGCAGTGAGGATGGCCGAAAAGGGTTGGACTCATTTCACCAGAGACAAGAAACTGACTGGGGGATCTGGGGGCAAAACAGAATTGGCCGGTGTCCCAGGTGGCTAACCAACTCTTAAGGCTGAAACTAAAAAGAACCTAAAGTGTTAACTGTTATCCTTCTAACTCTATATTTCACAGACAAGTCTCAGGGAGCCCTAGAATGGGAAGGAACTCTGGGTTATCCTGTCAGGTCCCCAAACTATCAGGTTTGGTGGGTGTCAGGTTCTCTCTGTGGTGACTTAAGTGACCAAGCACAGCTTCCCAGAGGTAGTAAGTGTCTATGTCCTGAATGGATGCATATTAATGGAATAAAAAAGGCAAACGGGCCCCCGTGTGCAGGGTGGAGCGGTGTCTGGTGGACCACCCAGTTTCAAGGACAGACGCCCCGTCGTACAGCAGGAAAAACCTTTAAAAGGAAAGCTCCCCTAAGCCCCCCTTGGCTAAAGGAATTCCTCCTGATAACTGCCAGG